CTAATTTACCAATCATATGCCACATACAAACATATTTAACTTGAGATTTCTCAAAGTCATTTCAAATGCCAAATCTCACAACCTCATTGGTTCATCAATCCGATGATGAAACTAGACACCTACCTTTTTTTAAGTGCTCTTTAAAATCAAAGAATCATCTACTAAGACTTTTCCAAAACTAGCATCTTTTAGCCTTTTTACCTTAGAAAATTAAATCCATCATTAATCTTTCCCAGTCATGGGGTTCATGCCAAACAAAGCAGATTTTAAACTTTCACTTACACAAATTCAAATGCACGACCTTCATGTATAAGGCTCTAAATTTTTTCCAAATCTCCATGTACAGAAACTATATATTGGTGCTATTCCAGAACTGATACATTCTACTCCATTGACCCTTATGAAATTAAATGCTTGGCCTACCTCTCTATTCCTATACTTCATAATAGTCTAATAAATTCTAGCTAAGGATTAAGCCAATTCATGTGTCGAGCCTCTCAGGCAATATCAAAGATACCAAGCTTGATTGCAAAAAGATAGAACTTTATGAATGAATAGCAGAAGTGTGAACACTTACCTTTAAGCTAACAATATTATAATTAACTTATTTGGTGCCAAAATCACTGATGGATTATTTTAGTCATCGTCTAGTTCCGTAGCCACTGGCAAAATATCATATCAAACGGAACTATAACCAACTCCATATGAGCTTTTGTGCTAATATGCAACACATATATGCATATACATTTCCAAAAATTTCAACTTCAAGTAGTCTCAGGCATAGCAAGCACAATAAGCCATCTATAATACCGAAATAACCAACAAATCAAGTTTAGGACCATCTCCTCTTACAGTTAATAAATCACGCTCACCATCATCTGATGAATGCACAAAGCTGATTATGGTGTTCTATTCTCATACATAAGTCAATTGCTAATTGGCACCATCTCTAGACACCACGTGTCTTAAAAATCGATTTTACTTAGCCAAAATTCATATTCTAGTATAATGCCTCTAGGTCATGGCTCATTACCAAAATTTTTACTCATATATATGTACTCAAAATCCCAAAGCATCATCTCTTTTCTAAGTAGATCTCTACAAATTCCGCGGTGCATTTCTACTCCCTCACCAAGGGTAATATTAATTAACTAGATCATATCATCATTGCTCTCTAAGCATCTAAAGCACAATTTAACCTTTGCCCATCCTTATCAGGTGTCGTAACGTGCAGGGTCCGAGAACACGACCGCTAGATGGTGTGTGTACTTTGGGAGTCGCCACTAATCTTTTTTTAACCTAAGTGTGATTGGCCACCTAATACATTTGATCCGTTCGACGAAGTCCTAAATTGGTTTTAGGTCCATCGAAAGAACTATAAATTGGTCTACGTATTTTATTTAAAGTTGAGTTCGGGAGTACGGTTACGCACAGAAAAAGATTAGCACCCCTATGACGCCCGTTCAACTAACAGTATCATTTAATCATATATTATCCTAACCCATTAG